TATATGAGATAATGTAAAGTAAGCATAATTTTACCGGGATCATAACTTGTCAAATAATTAGGAAAATGATCGTTTTTCGTTGCGTACCTGTTTTGATTTTAACACTGTTAGGTTTAAAACTGCGAGGTAATATTTGAATAAATATAGTTTCCTCTAGGTACAAAGAATTTTTTAGATGAAAATATTTGTAGTTAAGACTACTAGAAATCTTATTTATGGAGTAAAAAGGCGAAAAGACTGCAATTAGGGGCATGACTGGTATTAGGGGCTTCTACCCTAATTCGGTAAAAAGTATCTAAGTAGGTATTAATATACCTACTTTTTACTATAAACTAAAATTTTTTTAAACTAAATTTAACTAAAAAAAACTAAAGTGACCATTTATTTTTTAACTCAAAACAGGACATGGGTTTATTTACTACACTCTACAAACTATAACTTTACACAATTAGTGTTCAATATAAAATTATATTCGGTATAGACGGTAATTATTAAATGCAACATATTTTTTTTAATTATTAATTACATTTGTCAGTGGATTAAATTTGCTTTAATAAAGTTGGTGATAATTTTAAATAAGAATAAAATTCTGCTTAAGTTTTTTTATTGTTACCTTTGTTAACAACATCGCCTTTAGAACTGGAACCGTAAGTGTTTCTTTCAGACGTCCACAATTTGTTCAAAATAAAAAAAATATTCTTTCTACTGGAGCATTTGTACCAGGGAGACATAAAATATATTCGATTAAAAAAAATTATGTTGAAGATTGTTGACTTTGAATACTTCCATCCAACGAGTTACGGGACAATTTTGTGTCCCGGAGCTTTGTTTGGGGACAATGGGACAGGTGACTGAGAAAAGGGACAGTCCCGTTCAAAACGGGACGTATGGTCACTTTAGCTATAAACCGGCGACGGCTCCGTGGCGCACTGGCTTAGCAATCAGTTGCTGCACTAGGTGCCGCGGGTTCGAATCCCGCACGGAACAAGTATTTGTATGGCCTACAAATAATTGTTCCGGGTCTGGATGTTTGTCCTTGTGCAATTTATGTTTGTAAACTGCCTCCACGACTCTCATTCTATATTACTCTCACTCTGCGAAACATCCTATTTATTTATTTATTCTTTATTGCACCAAATATTTGTACAAAAGGCGAGCTATCTATCTATTTACCTATAGTGAGTAGGTATCATTTAAACTCACAATTTTCAATGCTTCATTTTTAATATATAATTAATTATAAAATTTCATAATTAGATAATATTATATGAGAATACATAACTCTAATATAATGCAACTAATATACCGAATAAAAAATTTGAGATACATTTATCGTTGTACGCTGTGTGTATTTCCATAAAATAGTTTATTGATGTTGAAAAAATACTACGTTCTTACAGTAGGTGGCGCCTTACATATTTCTTACGTGATATTATATTGTAGCGAGTCGGCGCGGCACACCAAATGCTCAAGGTCGTTCGCATGGAGTAGCCCCTTAACGGTATGGTGTAAATATCCTGTGTTGAGTTGGAGCAATAAAAATATTATTTCCATAATAAAGTCTATACATGTAAATAAAAGTGTCTGTCTGTGGAAATAACTATCTTCTAATGAGGGGGTTATTTCATTATTATACATTATTATCTCAGCCTTTGGGTTTATTTTCATGTTATTAAGACATAAATAACAATTTAAAAAGAAATTATCTGTCTGTCTGTCTGTCCAGGCCAATCTTCGGAATGGCTGAAACGATTGCGTTGAAATTTCACGAACATGTAGAGAGCAATGCCTGAACGAATTTAAGCTATACTTTATCCGAAAAATTGACTTTAGTAAATCCTATCTAGACGAGCCGAGGAGGATCGATAGTCGACAATATTTATGAATTTTAAAATGTAATAAAATATAATCGAAAATACTCAAAACAAAAACGGGGTATAAAGGGTTTCATGATCACATAATGATCATTGTATACATAGGCTGCACTAAAAGTATCGGAAATGGAATATTTCCACTGTTCCTGTCATATTAAAATCTTTTTAATCGAATACCCTTGGTTTTAAAAATCGAATACCATTTATTTATTTAAAAAAAGATTCTCGGTCTTGTCACAAGGTTTTGTCAAACTTGTTTAGTCGTTGAGAAAATGGAATTGACTCGAGAAAATTCAAGAGCGATGATTTATTATGACTTTCGAAGTGGATTAACACAAAAACAGTGTGTTGACCGGATGATTTCTGCATTTGGCGATGAAGCCCCATCCAAAACCACAATTTATCGCTGGTTTGCTGAATTTCAACGTGGACGTGTCAAGCTCAGTGATGATCCCCGTCAAGGTCGTCCAAAAACTGCAGTCACCCAAGAAAACGTTGATGCTGTGCGTAAGCTGATTGAGGAAGTTCGACATGTGACATACCGCGACATTCAGGCAACTTTAGACATTGGCATGAGTCAAATACTAATAATCTTGCATGAACAATTTGGTGTAAAAAAGTTGTTTTCCCGATGGATACCGCATTCGCTCTGTGAAGAGCAAAAAGCGGCTCGCGTTACTTGGTGTCAGTTACAGTCACGAGTTTGGGTGTTCGAAAATGAGTTAAAACCAACAAAAATTGTTCGTTCACGGAGTGTTGCAAAAAAAATGGTGGCCACGTTTGTCTCCAAAACCGGCCATGTTACGACTATTCCTCTTGAGGGACAAAGAACGGTTAATGCAGAATGGTATGATAGCATTTGTTTGCCACAGGTCGTTTCTGAACTTCGTAAAGAGAACTGCAACCGCCGCATCATCCTCCATCACGACAATGCGAGTTCTCACACCGCACATAGAACAAAAGAGTTTTTAGGGCAAGAAAACATAGAATTATTAGACCATCCGCCGTACAGCCAAGACCTAAGCCCTAATGATTTCTATACTTTCCCTAAAATAAAGAATAAATTGCGTGGACAGAGATTTTCATCACCTGAAGAAGCTGTGGACGGACGGATTTTGGAGACCCCAACTTCCGAATGGAATGCTTGCTTCAATGATTGGTTCCATCGTATGGAAAAATGTGTCAAATTTCGCCGAGAATCCTTCGAAAAGCAATAAATACATTTTTAAATAGTAATGTTGTGTCACTTCCTTGATTCCCGAAATTTTCAGTGCCGCCCTTGTAATCATTAAAGTAGTCATAGGTATATAATCAACTTCCGTATTATAAAAATTGATGAAAACTATTAGATAAATGTCTATGCACTCGAATTATCATAATTACATTGGAAGGTTATGTAGGCAGTAGTTTACTCCTTTTTTTCCTCGTAAATAATTCCAGCATTAGAGGATAGACGTTCTAAATAAACACTACTTCCGTCCCGGCCGAATACTTTTGCCTAATATTCGGCATTCGGTCAGGAAGCTCGCATAATATTCGGTATTCGGCGTGTGGCCAGACATAACGTGGTAGAGTCACGCTGCAGCTATATTATGCTTGTAGCATGAATGGATCGGCTCGACCGGGGTAAGACCACGCTCTCACAGAATACCAGCGCAAAATAGCGGCTTAATGCTGCTGTGTTTCGTATGTTGAGTGTAGAGAAGCGGAGATCCTTTTTATTGGAAACGAGCCATTCCATCTTAGTCCTCAGGTGTAACAACGCATCTGCATTTTGGTTCTTAATCAAGGAAAAATGTAGTTGTCTATGGGCCACAGCATCCTCTTACCATGAGGTGGAACTGTGTGCTCTTGCGTCACCCTTATTCTGTAAAAAAATATACATACTATCCGTTGCAAGTCTCGTTAAAATAGCTGCTAAGGCTATAGAGCATTGGTTTATACATACATACACTCGAAAAACATTACCACCCCTCTGACAGTTAGGCAGTCGGGTAAAAATCACTTGACATTTCAATAAATTCTTGTTAATTTCTAAAAGAAAGATTATAATATGTTATAATATGTCAAACCTTCTGTTCGAAATCAAGCATCAGTTTATAATAAATCTATGGAATTCAACGCTTTGTAACGTAAGAAATCTTTTTTGTAAGAAAATCTTGACCTTATTTTGACACTGAAAGCAGGCTTGTACTCGTATTTATTTTAGATTGTCCGGTTAAAACCCTTTGAAAATCAACTAGGAGCCTTGTTTCTTTTTCTTACTATTTTATTCAACGAGTGGTGATTTATTTTGTAAAATATATGGAAATAGGCTTACGTCATAACATTTTCATAAGATATAACTTATTAATGTTAAAAATAGTATTAAGAATTAAATAAAGTAACATGGTGATAAACGAGCGCACATTCTACCTGATGGTAAGTGGTTTCTGTGGCCCATAGACATCTACATCTATCTTCGTTTGCAACTTAAAATGCAGATGCGTTGTCACCCGTAAGGACTAAGATGGAATGCCTCTCTTCCAGTAAAAAGGGTCTCCGGTACTCTACACTCACAGCAGCATTAAGCTGCTATTTCACGATGGTATTCTGTGAGAGCGTGGTCCTTCCCCGGTCGAGCCGACCCATTCGTTCTACACCTATACTATTAATATAGCTGCAGCATAGCTCTACCACGTATAAAATATAACATAACTTGAAATATTTGCCCATAGCGTGGTGAGCCACGCTAGACTCGCACCAATGATAATGATATCACCAGTTTCTTGGAATTTGTTTTCAGCATTTTTAAATAGATATAATCAGGATGGCCCAAATGCAAATGAGGATGTTATGAGGAGAAAATTTTTTGTTACATCTAAAATACCTCATTCTCTGAATATGTAAAAAATATTTTTATTTTTATGTATAAGAGCATCCCCTCTCCCATATCATACAGAGAGTGTCAAAAGAAGCGACGGAGGGAAATAAAACTGAGATTGCCAGCAGCGTCTTCGCGATGACAACTCAAAAATAATAAAAATCTGCCGTTACTAACCCGGCTGCCATGCGTGATAACTGTGGCAAACGTAGTCTCCGTTTATGTGTTTATATTAAACTATATTATACTTTATTCTAAACCAGCATGGATGACATCGAGTTGAAGAATATTCAACTACAGTTCCCGAGCTCTCGGCGCTTCAGCGGCGACGGCGGCGCCGTGGAAGTGCGCGTGCGCACTGATCGCGGTGACATCATGGTTGCCGTCCAAGGAGATCGCTCTAAGCCAGCGATTTTTACTTACCATGACCTCGGCTTAAACTGTGAGTAGCGAATTTATAAATATTTTAAATGGTTTTAAATATCCTCGTCTAGATATAATTTATTCCCTAGTTGCCTTTTTATATCCTGTAGTCGGACTAGTGTATTGGTGGTGGTGAATGGACATGCTTTAACTGGCATTACTCTAGTCGGTTTTTGGGGTAGCTACGGAATACAGGCAGAGTAGTACAGGTTTCTTTGAATACCTTCTTGGTATAAAGCCAGCTATTTTATGACGAGGGGCGCATTTCTTTTTTGAGGGAGTCATAGAGAGCAGCAATAAGGTTGATCACGCTGCTCTTGTGCGTTTTGTCGTACTTCACAGTCCTCGAAATATTTTTATGTGTGAGAAAATGCAAGTTTCCGCACGATGTTTTCCTTCTATTTCGGCTTGAAGCGTGAGGTAAATCAGAATTTAAAATTACAATTAACAGCTCTATATAATCGTACTTAACGTAGGTAATTTGTTATGCCAGCTCTACACACTTGTCGAGAGCCCCTCGCCCCGCCTCGCGCTTTTCGTGCTTTCGGCCAGGCCCGCCGCGATACACTCTCGTTGTATCGGTTGAACTGTGGACACCGTTCACCTTATGACTCATGATATATGACTGAGAACTTTAAACATTATTGCTGTTTTTTGTCTTTGTTCTGTTAACTGCTATAATTATTTAAAATTATACCATACAAAAAATATTAGATTAGTTTAGCGTTCGTTACACCACATAGCACCACATAACCTCACGTAAATACAATTAATAGGCAATTAAATAAACGAGTGTGCACATGTTCGTTCTTGTTTTTCTTGTAAGGGCTAACAAGGCCCTTTGACTCGGGCGCACAAAACCAACATGCGACTGACAGGTGGCAAGGCGAGCCAAGAGAGAGCGAGGCGAGACGAGACGAGAACTCCATGTAGACACTTCTTGCTCCCGGCCTGTTTCGTGATGTATTGGCGAGTGTGTACATTCGGCATTAAATGTAGATATAGACGAATGCAGCATGATTGGTCATAAATATTTCGTGAGTAGTGCTGATAATATACAAAATTGAAACCAATTATATGAACAATAATATTTTCAAGGCAATATTTTTGACGTAACAAGTGTTAAAGCCTAATTTTGGCATTTAAAAATAACTCTAATGTTCAAGTTTTTACTATGCGCTAGTGTTAAATAAAAAAATAATAAACTTGTGAAACTTTTCCGTCAGATTATGATGAAAATATCGCAGTTTTGTTTCCTTTCAACCCTTTTCTGCCAAACACATTAAAAGGTAATCCCTTACATGACGGAGGGAGGAACTGATGAAGCATGTAGAGGCGATAGATGGGAGTGACTTATGATCGTGCTTTGCGACACTAGATGGGAGAGGCGTAAATTCTGCAATGGACCAACGGTTATCTTGAGTGATAACATGAATATTTTTATATATCGTGAAAATATTGACTTTGCTAAGGACTCGAATTAGTTGTTTTAAAACTAAGCAGTGTAATTAATGCTCATTCTACTTAACGTCTAGTACCTAAGCAACGGAGGTTTGCTCGGCGTTAGAAAAAAAAAATCTGTTTATACCTATCCAGAAAAACTAGTTAAGTAAAACATTATCTACGTACAAAATTTCATTCAAATTGTTAGTACCGTTTCCATGAAACAAGTTACATATAAAAATACATCTTATTTTTTTCTTTTTTGTTTTGTGGCATCTTTTCTCTCGTTCTCCCGCAATCTGTGGGATTGATTTCGTGAAAAGCGACGGAAGTGTGTAACAAGAAGCCGGGTAAGCGCGCGCTATTCGATTTGACTAATGAGCGCGGGTGGTGGTAGAAAGTGTGATGTTATATAAACTAATTTATTTGTGTAAAGTATATTAATAATTGTATTTACTGTTGATAATAAGTGTCTGAAAAAAGTGCAGATCATTGATAAAAAATTCAAATGTGTAATAATGAAATACGAGTAAATATTTCAGTATATAGGTTTTACAAATTTTGCGATTAATTTCGGTATTTGCTAAATTGTTATTTTTGATTCTGATTAAAAAAAGTAATAGCTTTTTTAGGATATGACGTTAATGTTGCTTATTACCAAGGTGAGATGTCAGATGTTACACATCATACGCGACTACTGTATGCCTCGCTCGTTTTTTTTTAAATATTATTTAATTATTTAAAAAAAATATTTAATAGGTTTGATTTTATATAACTGATTTTCTGCAATAATACTGTAAACAAACATGTTTCGACCAAATTTTGTAGTACGCATAAAAGCTTTTAGCTTTGTGGACGAATATACTCAGCAAATTAATTTTCCTAGAAATGAGACCTAGTTAGATCGATTTTTCGTCCCCGTTAGCCCCTTTAATGTAAATTTAATTGATATCGTCAGAGGCGTTTTCGAGAACGTGATTACAAACACATTTATACAATATTCTATTGCTCGTGTAATAGCACAGGCTTACTGCTTTCATCTCGCCGCAGCCTTTCGTTTTGAATGTAAGATAGCAAATAGGTATGGAAACCCATTTCATATTAACTTATGAAGACCTTTGTTCAAACAGTCGACATTCCTGAGGACTAAAATTGAAATGCTTCGTTGCTAGTTTAAAGGTATTTCAATAGAGCTGTGATATGCTCGAAGCAATTATTTAATCAGCTTTATCGTATTTTATAATAAGTGTATTTTATATGATATCTTTTCATCCCTCCTTTACAGCCTATAAAAGTCCACTGCTGAAATGAAAGTGATTGACAGCACCAATTTTCTGATAACAGCTAAAAAAAAATGCGGTTGCCAACTCTCCTGCCAAGTGTTGTTGTTCAACAGTTGGACTTTTGATAGGCTGTATGTGTAGTTATTTTATTACTCGCGCCCAAAGGTGTAAAGCGGCTAGACTTTCGGTCTACTATAGAATAAATGTCCGGGTTTCCTGTAATACATATATAATCCAAACATTGCAATTGCTTGCCTGCATCAGTCTTTGTCCAAGTACAATGTTAAGTACCTTTATGAGTGAATAGGCTTAACGGTGCTATTGCGTTTTACCACCACAGACTGTATCACCACTTAACATCGAATATGATCGCTACATATTTTGTGTACTTAGTCAAAAATGTTACTAAAATATTAAATACATCTATTTATAGTTGTATTAATTCTTCATACTTATTTCGATCCTCGGTTCCTGACTATTCTACGATCCTAATTCGGTCGGGTCACAGAACATAAATCTGTCAGTGGATCGCCATCATTCAATCATAACTTAACAAAAGTTCACTATTTAACATTAGGTCATTAAATTGTACCATGGGTCGATTTTTGATATAGTTACCACGATTGGCAGGCAGTATGGCAACCGCAGTTCTTAATTATTCTGAGTCGTTATTAAGAATATCCTACTGTCAATGATCTGTTTCAGTTTCCCTCTGACTTCTATTTATAAATCCACGGCTCGGTAATGGATAGTGGATTCTCTAACGCCGACACCACGTGCCGACATACTCATGTTAATATAACGTTGTTTATTTTATTCCTATAACGATTCATGGTAAAGTGGAAATTAAATCAGCTGGTAACATGTGTATTATATATACATTGTTAGGGTTCCAAGGGAAGCCTTCGAATAAATCAAATTCTTGCTGCAAATACGCATGGGATTTTACAAGATTTTCCATTCGTCGCTGACAACCGCCAGGGAAATCTCCAACTGGCTTTTCTCAGTTCACGTATAATACGATCGAAAACCATATCATAAATATTACCGTTTTATTGCAATAGCCGTGACCCGCAGGCCTTATATAGATTTTTAGTATCTATCTTTAGTTTAGTTTTGTTTTAACCAATAACATATTCACAAGAGGAAGCCTATTGGTAAATTAACAAGTAAATTTTTATTGTCAATTTACGACCAAAAAAGTGTTGCAGTTGTTCATGGGCGGCGGTAGTCACTTACCATCAGGTGAGCCGCATGATCGTTTGCATCGTCCTATAAAAAAATGTCGGGAAGATTGTGTGGCTTTTGGCGGAGGGTGGCATAATCATCATGCTTGATGCCGCACCAAAAGTATACAAATTAGAAACGGAGACGGTCAGAAGTTGCCTTCTGTTGGGTCTGCTACTATGATTGCTAATTTGCCTTACAATACTCTCTACAACGGGAAAAACTCATGTCTGGCAGTACACTTTTATTGGCTGATAAAGAAGACACTCCCTGAGTTCCTGCAGTCACACGGATATGAGTTCAATGCTTCAGTACATGTACAGTTTTTTAGATTCGCCTACTACACTTACGTCTACCGGTGTCGGCAGTCTTCACTCACCTAGTTTCCACTTTAATTACATGCTCATTTGCAAATGCCCTTTGCGCATTTCACACTTAAAGCTATAATCAGCTTTACCCTTTATAAGCAAAAGAGGATTTCAGTCTTTCGGAACATTGTAAAACCTCTATTAATGAAATTCTATTCCTTATTCCTTGCTGTCAAATAATTTTGACAATTTATTAAATTTTTAATAAACTTTTATGCTGAAGGTTTTCTTATAACTGGCAAGTACAATCCATATGAATAGCTTAAAGTCAGTCTTTAGACATTCACAAAAACGTACTCTTCCACGGGATTCGCAAACATTAAAATAAATGTTAGTCGGATTTCAGACACAAGAGGTTCTAATGAAACTGTCACTGGCAGTAATTAGCGAAAATGTGAGCTCTTAAGGATTGTAACATGGAACTAATTAAAATTTGGAAAGAAAGACACCGCCGGGTGGCCGGTGTTAAAACATTTTTCATAAAAATATGAGGAATTTCAAACTAACTTTATAATAACCTTCAGAAATACAGAATGTTTTTAGCACCAACAATACCAATAAACAAAACACCATTATTAGTCGAGTTTAGCTCTGTTTTACTAAAGTTTATCAATATGTAATGGAGCTTGAAATAAATAAATAGAAATTCCGAGAAATACTTTAGAATAGTAATACAAAGATTTAGCTGAATCATTATC